TAGTAATCAGTCATTAGCGAATGTTGTAGTTCGCTATTAATAATAATGTATACCATTATGTATACCAGGATATTGTAAAAATTAAGTTACGAAATTTTTATTAAAACGTTTCTTACAGCCCTAGCCGGCTTGGCTCAGTGGATAGAGCGTCAGCCTGCGGACTGAAGGGTCTCAGGTTTGATTCCGGTCAAGGGCATATGCCTGGGTTTCGGGCTCGATCCTCAGTAGGGGGCGTGCAGGAGGCAGCTGATCAATGATTATCTCTCATCATTGATGTTTCTATCTCTCTCTCCCTCTACCTTCCTCTCTGAAATCAATAAAAATATATATTTTTTTAAAAAAACACGTTTTTTACATATTGTTATATTGCCTGGGCAGCAAAAATATTAGTTGTGGGCCGAGAGTTTGAAATGCTTGCTATACCACCTTCTAAGAGGTTATACCATCACATTTTGGAGTGTGAGGTCACGTTCACAAGAAAGCAAAGATGGAGTGGCCACAATTCTACAGTGGCCATTCTTAGTTTAACTTTGATGTGTAAGCTGTGACAAAGTTTGTTGGAAATCCAGCCAATACTCCTCATCATTAACCATCAAAAACTCTAACAAGTTAAACAGTAAACCTTTCCTCAATCATGATCTCCCTTACTCAATAGATTATAATCATCTTTCAGTGTTCAATGACAGATGAAAATGATGATAGTTTATTATCAGCTAAAGTTTATCAAGCCTTTCTTACCTGCAAGACACCAACCTATGGCTTTACTGATTTGACCTCCATTGTCCTTTTGTGTGTGTGTGTGTGTGTGTGTGTGTGTGTGATACTTTTTTTTTAAATTAATTTCAGAGAGAAAGGGAGAGAGAGATAGAAATATCAATCAGCTACCTCCTGCATCCCCCCCCTACTGGGGATTGAGCCCACAACCCGGGCATGTACCCTGATCAGTAATTGAACTGTGGTCTCTTGGTTCATAGGTCACTGAGCCACACTGACCAGGCATTCTTTGTCCTTTTGTAACAGGTCACTTAGTGGTGAGGGGCAGAGCTAGAAGTGAGGTACATCTGGCTCTAAAGCCAGGCCGCTGGACCAGCACCCTCACCTGTCCTCTGGGTCCTCTTACTATGGACGCTCTCTGCCCTGTGGTTTCTTGGATGACCTCAGGGCCTTAATTTCCTCTCTGTCACATGAAACTAAAAAAGGATATGAAACGGCT